TATGAAAGACTGATGAGTGATTTCTTGGCATCTCTTGAAAGAACAGAGACGAAGAGAGACTTTAAGTCTGGGAGCTGAGGGTGTTCCCTGCCTGCAGAAACAGGGGATGGGATGAGAGTTGTTCTGGGAGCATATAAACTTCGGAGTCCTCCCAAGAAACCCCTCTGCTTAAAGACAGTCCAATTTGGGGGTTTTGCAGCTTGTGATTAAGAGGATCCTAACATGCTAACACAATCACCTACTGATAGTCAACTTTAGGCTTCCTTTACCTATTAAACACCACTACGAAAATCACCTGCCCTGCACCACGTCTTCCTTTTGTAGTAAAGAAGCAATATTCTGACGTTAAAAAAAGAAATTCAAACTAATAGTGGGGAGCAGTGTACTCCACAGAAGAAACAAGGCAACCTCAGAGAGGGTTTGCAGGTGGGACAGACAATTACAGAGAGTTGAGTGTCAATCTTGCATGCTGGAAGTGAAAGAACTCACACTGTGAGGCTGGCTCCCCTGGAGAGGTCTCAGTCTTTTTAAGGAAAAGTGCAATGGAGTCCTGAGAAAATGAAAAAGGAATACATCTGGGGTTCTCATGAACAGCTTCCATAGACAACCTGAAATTGACCCTAACTTTCATTAAAGCTTCAGTAGCAGTGATTTAATGAAAAGCAATATGAATTTATCATTTAATAATGGGGTCTTCTTCCTTTAAATTTCCTAAGGAACTAATCTAGTTGTTTTTACCTTGATAAACAAACATCTGATGAATAAAAATCAAATCACAAAAAACACAAACATTAAAGTTCTCATATCACTATTCTACCAATGTGGTAACAATGAAATGTTGTAGCACTATTTAAACGTAAGCTTTGTTATAGCTCAGCCATGAGGCCAACAGATGGGGAGAGGACTGTTGTGGGGAAGTGTTAGGGAGTAGGCTGGAGACGCAGGGGTGAAAGAATTCACCAGAGACAGAGTGGAGAACCCAACAGGTGGAGTTATTGAAATTTGTTGCTAAGAGAAGTGGGCGAGACAGGAGAGGTCTGTGTGGGAAGAAGTGTTTGGAAGAAGTGTTACAGTGTTTTGTAACCTGTTTCTTAGGCTTTTCATTTCTCGGAGTCAGTCTGGGTCAGTTAGTGCTGGGATGCCTGATCCTGGGCATTGACTTTTGACACAGAGTGTGTCCTGGCCCTCCTTCCTCATTCATGGTCAAAGTCTTGACCCAATGCCAGAGGTGAAGGAAGCATTTCTTGATGAAAAATCCTACATCACCAACATTTGAGATGCTCACGTGGGGCTGACCGACTCTTTGTGGGGTGCTGCTGTCTCCCAAATGAGCAACCGAGGTGTCACATCCTCTTGCCCAAGGTCACACAAGATGCCAGAGGCTTGTTCTGAACCCTCCCAGACTGCCTCAGGGTTTTATTTAAGAAATAGTTTATAATACAGATCCTATGTGCCACATGTGGAAGCTATAATAAAGAGTACACTCTGTACCCAACATAAGATAAAGATCAGTGCCCGGTTGGTGAGTCCCACTGATGCTGGCCTCCGCACAATACCAAACATCTGTCCATTCCACCCACAGGATTTAGTACCGCACACAAGGCCCCAATTATTTCCTTTAAAAAAAAACAAAACTAGAAAACCCTTCTTATGCCAGTGGTTCTCATTATACAGGGATGACCCCCTTTGGGCATCATGAGAAAGCCACGGACACGTTCCCAGGAAAAGAACACATTCATAAAACTTTATAAAGTATTTCAAGGTTTCACAGAGCTCCTACAGTTAGTGACCACCCTCTATCACTCCAACAAGGTAGTTGGAGAGCAAATTCAGGGAACTATCTGGTAATTACTCTAATGTAAGATGGCGTCATCTTAGGCAAACTGGCCCATTTCTCTCCCGGGACCTTTTCCTCCTGTCCTTCATTGTCCGCAATGCATGGCTACGCCAGCCACCCTCCCCGCCCCCATGAGGGCAGGGCTCAGGACTGGTTGTGAAGCACAGTATAAATTCTCATCAATTTATTCATCCACTCAGCACTTGACTGGAATCCTGCCTATGCCCCAGTCTGACTGCGCCGGGGTGTTTCAGCCTGTCTGATTGTCTCGTGTGCTGCCAGCGTGTCCTGTCCATGCTCCCGGCGCCCATGTACAGTCCCGAGCCAAAAGTCCAGATTTCAACCTGGTTTGGCTGCCTGATTGTGTTGAGTTTGGACAAATCACTTTACCTCTCTACGCACTCATTTTTCACAGTATTTACCTCACAGGGTTGCACAGGTGAAGATTAAAATGTGTTCCTATTCATAAAATATTTGGGACGCCATTTGCCACTAAGTGAGAGCTACAGAAGTATTAGCTTAGTGCTGTCTCAAGGCAGTATGCTGTCAAAGGCCTATTTAAAAACATAGTTCTGTGAGCGCCTCCCAACGCTAATGCACCCTAATAGTTAATTCCAACAAAGTTCCACACCTGAGAGGGCCTAGAGTCAAAGACTGAGATCCGCTGTGCACAGAGTAAATCTGTTCACAAAGAAACCAGTTCCGAAGCCGCAGTTATGGCAGAGCAGAGGGTGTCAGGCTTCCACACTTAAAACTATTAATCTTCACAAAAGGGCAGGTGGGGTTACTAGAGCAGATAATGGGCCAATTTGAAGTAATGTAGAGGCCCTCCCAGTTCACAGCGCCAACACCACAGGGCAAGGCACCTACCCTTCCCCCAGTGGCCTCTCCTTGGCTGTCCCCCATTTCCTTGACCTATGCCTGGTTTTCCTCTTCAGCATCACTCCCCTCTTTGCTGGATCTCCCTCCTTTAGACTTTAAACAGAGTTGGGACATTGGTCTCTTCTCCCCGATACATTCCTCTTGCTGATAGCAGTATTTCAAATGCCCCTTCCGTTGAGTGTCCCAAATTGGTAACTCGCTGATTCCACATTGAGCCCCTCATTTTCAACTGTGTGGCAGGCATCTCTACTGAGGAGGTCCCTGAAACTCAACACCCAAGTCAAGCCACTGGTGTCACCATCCCCCTCTCACTGACCACCTTCTGGCTTTCGGTTCATGGCATCACCAAGGCCTGCTCCGTCACACATCCGCCCGTGCCTCCCAGTCCGTAGTTGTCAAATCTGTCCAGGGAGCTCCTACACCTTCCTCACACACCCTGCTTCTCTCCATGCTGTTCTAGCCCAGGCTTCCCTTGCCTGATGCTTCAGAATTACACCAGCCTCCAGACACTTTCTTCCTCTTTCCCTATTTCCACACACTTTCTGCCCCTGCAAGATTCTCAAAGCATTTCCCCGGAGCCTGGGTTCCTGAGTTGTGCCTCACAGAAGGGGCGACTAAAGATTCACATGTGTTGTTATATTATGTACTAAGATCCTACTTAATATTTAAAATAAATAGAAAGTTCTGTTGCAGAAATAAAGCATGTTATTCTAGTCCCAACACTCATTGGTATTTTCTTAGAAGAGGAAATAAAAGCAATTCCCCTCTGGCAGCATGGTGACATCTCAAACCCAATGGCCTCACCCCCCTCCCCAAGGCACTCAATCTCATCAGCCACCCCTTCTGCTGGGTCTCTGCTCCTGGAACTTTTCTTCCTGTTCTATTCCCACCATTGCCTGATCTATACCCCCGCATACCTTCCTCCTATTCAAGGCCCTGGTCTTAGTTCTATGTCTGGCTTTATCAAAACAGCACGGTGACTTCCTGTAAGACATCTGTGTCCTCCACCCACGACACTGCAAGGACCAAATCGGAGGAGCAGAGCCGACTGCCTGGTCTGGCTGAAGAGCAGTGAGGGAACCACACGCCCACCCGCAAGATCTCAACAGGTCCGACACAGGCAATTCCACAGCCTTTCCCTGAGGCTCCCAGGGAAGGCGCCCTCCCACACCTGACTTGGGAGGGCCGCTCATGGCATCCCTGCAAGGAACTTCAGTCAGGCCTCAGCATCCCAAGCCCACCCCTCTGATCTTCTGAATCCTGGCGCCCCGACCTACCTGGCCTTCTGCCCTGTCCCCCTTAGGGGCATTCATTCAGAGGCCCCTGATTTTCCTTCCCTTAAGCATCTCTCTGACACCTACGTGGAGGAGGAGCACTTTCTCCAGCTTCACCTCTTGCTTCTACTACTGCAGTAAGTGGTTACAGCATTAACTAGGACTTTCTCTTGGCTTTTTTCTTTCTTCCCAGCATTATGAGTTATAATTGACAAATAAAGTTGCAATATATTTAAAGTGTACAGTGTGATTTGATATATACATTGTGAAAGGAGTCCCACTATGAAGTTCATCAACACCTCCTTCACCTCAGATGATAACTTTCATGTGCGAATGCTTAAATCTACTCTTTTCAGTTACACAATATAGTATGATCCCTACAGTTGGTGTGCTATACATTAGAGCCTTAGAGTTTATTCGCTTTATAACCCGGATGCCATTATGCTAAGTGAGAAAGACAGATGAGAAAGACAAACACTCCATAGCATCACTTACATGTGGATTGCTTTAAAAATATTTGAACTTACTTCTGTTTATCTATTCAGAGGTTTACATCAAACTTACAGAAACAGAGGAGAATGGTGGCAGCCAGGAGCTGTGGACAGAGGAAAACTGGACTGTTGACTTAATCAGCTACTCCAGTACCCAGCAGCTCAGCCTTCTCCGGCTTGGCTGAGCTCCTGACACTCAACTTGGTTCATGCTTCTGAACAAGCACTATTCGCTGTTTTGAAAAGTATGTTGTAACAATTGCCATGTGGGAAAATAAAAGAATCAGGAGAAAGGAATTCTAGTAGTTTAAGCTGTAAATGACCAATGTGGCTCTGGCAGGCTGCTCGAAATTTGGGGCTGGGCCTTCTCCTTTATCTGTAGCCCCAAAGATGACCTGACTAGCTTTTGCTGAATATTCCTTTTAGATCTGCTATGCCAACTCTACAAATCGACCTAAAACTGGCTTTTGAAAAAAATTTAGAAAACAAAGCATGAGAATGAAGCTAAACATTTTTAATTGCTTTTTAAAATTTATCCTTCACAAAGTAGCATTTAAAAATAAATCACATCACAATTCATATGTCTAGTAGTACTGCTCTCACATTGGCCAGCAAAGTATTTATTTATTGCTTGTCTGCCACATGCCAAGCACACAGACAGTTTTCCTCTCTGTTCCTGCGAAGTACACTCAGCGCTTCTTCCAGGTAAACTTTCTGCGGGCGCCCTCCTGGCCTGGCTTCTTCCGTTCTCGGACACGTGGGTCAGCAGTCAGCAGGCCAGCTGCAGGATAGAAAGAGGAGCCTTTATGAGCCATGGAAGACGCATGTTACCTAGCAGGAAAGGAAGTGAATGACATGAATTTATAGGTATGTGGTCAGGAAAAAAACAGAGGAAAGCAACCAGACCTACAATAATTTACCAGGCTGGCAGAAATCGCACAACAGCAGTTTGCTTTCACTCTGTCAGGGTATTTTTCCAATTTCTGTGGCAAATATCAGCTACAATATTTGAGTCTATTTTCCTTATCCTATGAGAACTATGCCTCCTTTTTTGGTTCTTAAACTGGCCCAACTTAAAATAAAGCAGCTCTTGTGCACAGTCGCTACAGACTGCATATTTATTACAGATGTGAAGGTTAATACAGACACGAGATAGAAAAGAAAGCTTTACTGTATGAGTAAGTTACTAAGCAAAGAACAGATTTCAAGTATGAGGAAGTATATCAACATGTATTAGTAGCATACATGAATATCCATATCCATAAAATATGACACAACATATTTACAGAAAGTTTTATCATTCTAATTTGTATGATAATAAGATCCCTTGATAATTTGTTTTGGACTGTAGAAGTAAGTTTTAGGATTGTAATCTCAGAATATGTAGTTTATTCTAGAAGAATAAGCTCAGTCTAACTGGAAGCTTCCACTCTCCTAATTATTAAAAGCAACGATGATTTCTAGGCAATTAACAAGTTGGTCGTAATGGACAGCCCCGTAGTGGTCAGCACACCAGCAGTGGTGGGAACCACTGCCTACTCTGGACCAGATTTCAAGAATACCAGTCATGTGAATGCTCTCAGAGTGCTTTTAAAAATATGTAACAAGACCATAGTTTTTGATTGTCTTTTTTATTCTTTCAGTGTCATCTAGTACTTCTTTCCACATACAAGACTCAGATATTTTATTTGAAAACAGCAAATATTATTATGTACCCATAAACTTTTGCTATTTACTTGTACTTACAGGGCATAGAATAAAGCAACAGTATTTTAGACGAATGCAGACCAGACCTACCTAAATTCTAGCTTTAATTATAATAATGCTTTATCACTTTTTAATAAATATTCATAGCAGCTCAATCAAACTAAATTGTTAAATAAGAACCTGCAAAATTATTTTAATGATTATACAGGAATTTCATAAAACGGTAACTTATAAACATATGAACTTTTAAGAGACTTAAAAACTTAACTTGCACAAGCCACCAGTGGTGGTAACCAGCAGCATGCGATCAGGACTCCACAGCTTCGTGGGCCAGCAGGGGCCATGACGACCATCTTACCTGCCCAAAGAGGAGCTGACACCTACCGGCTCTTTGTGTGACTCACCAGGCCACACGGCAGGAACCCACAGCACCTACCTCCCTTCATAAATAGTGCAAAGGGAATCTTCTGCTACAGTGGTCCTCAGTTATTACAATTGCAAAAGCAGTGCTCTAAGGAAAAACCTAATTGCATATTCTCACACTGTGCAGATTCTTATGAGGTGAGCAGGTGACAGGGTCACATAAAATGAGCAAAGGAAAAAAAAATTCAAACTAACATCACAAAAAACAGAAATCGCCAATAATCTTTGGAAAAAAATACCTCAAAGACTTCATCATTCAATCAAATAATCATTACAAATTTCTATGGTGAAAGAAAAACCAATGTATCTATTAAACATATTAATTCAACATTCTGCTAAACTGGACAAAAAGGTTAAGCCTTAAGGGTAAAATGAATTTTTCCCTGGCGCTGTGAGTACCCCCTTTTTCTAATTTCCATTCACTTAATAAGAGTTCAAAATAAAAAAAAAACTGTTATGGTTCTAGAACAGAGAAAGATAAACCAGCAAACTGTATAATTAAGAGTTTTCCTCACTGCTTCCAGGTAACAAGAGTCAAATACACACTTGTAGTTAGTATCCGGATGACCATGTCTCTCCAACCTCAACTCATACCTTGTCTCATCCACTCGACCTCTTCTTCAGTGACAAAGCTGCACAAGGCTTTTGCCATTGCCAAACGTATCGCTCCAGCCTGCGCAGACCGTCCGCCCCCCACGACTGTACAGGTCACATCGTGTTTTCCAAGCCGGTCAAGGAAGTGAAAAGGGAACATCAGCTGTTCTCTAAGTCAGGCACATCACAAATAAAAATTTTAATGTAATGATCATAATTATATACACTGCACATTCTGGACATTGATAAATGCCATATGCATGTTAGTGCTCACACTTAGTGATCAATCCCTTATAAAAAGAGACACTGATACACTTTGCTGGGAACAAGTTTTTTTCCTCTTTTTCATGGAATTAATAACACACTCCATCTTTGAATCTGTAGATCCTTTTTATCACATGAGAACTTTGTAGGCCTCTAAATGACCTCATAAAAAGTTTTAAAATTGGGAAACGATAACTCAAGTAAGTCTAGCCTCTCTAGATTCAATGGTCAGATACGATATTAGGCCTTTCTAAACAATTATCAAATGTTATGTCTGTTCACTTACTAAAACATAGTATAATATCTGTACAATGCATAACATTCATTCTGACTTAGTTTGTGAAGTTACTAAAACTACTCTCAACCTTTACCCCCACAGAAGGAAACACAATCTTTCTCCTTCTGTAGTTCTTTGAGTTGCAAGGTCCTGCTACCTGCCAGGTGACGCCAGGTGCCACGCTGCACAGGCCCCATCAGAGCAGCTTCCCTCAATGGGGAGAGTCCACATGGTCCTAGGCAGGCACCCCAGCAGGAGAGAGTGGCAGGTCATGGCCTTGGCCTTCCTTTGCCCAGTTGGCCAATATTTGTTGAGTATCATGTGTGTATCAAGTAGAGCACTCATAGTCACCTTTGGTGACATAAATAACTCTTCTAAATTTTTATTTAGAAACACTGATTTATATTGCATTTTACTTATTTTGTTAGATACTTTCTAAATCCAAAATAAAGTTTACTAAAACACAGTGAACTGAAAGATGAACACAAACAGCATATTCAAGTGTTACTCCTATAATATGCCAGTAAAATAATCATATCAGATTGATAGAACAAGACTTTGAAAGAACATAACTGGAATTTGCCACAATACTGCAATGATGTTATTTTAATAGGAATGAAAAAATTCCTGTAGCAAAAGAAAAACTGATGATAGCAACCAAGTAAAATAAAACAGTGTGTCAAAACAGTACTATTATAAAGACTAGCCATTTTTTTCATAATAATGGAAGGAAACTTAGAGACTGATAATCTAATTCTACTATTTCATTTTTCTAGCAAGGACATAGAAGCCAAGATAAAATCTCTGTGATTGTCATGCACAAACATCACAGATCTCTGCATTGTCCAAGACAGTTAAGTGGGTCAGTGATATAAGTGATGCCACTAAGAGCAGCTCTGACACTTACTGTTTGGGAGCTGAAACACTTATCTGTACCAATTTCTCAATATTTAATACTCCCTAACAAATGTTATATAGAAGGGGAATTTTTACTAATGTACAGGAAAAAATAATGTATTTTATAATCTAGTAGAGATACTTAGGAGTGAGCAAAATAAGAGAGAATTATTAAGAGTTTGGGCAATTGGGGCACGGGGATACACTGAGGTATAATACTAAATTTACAAGCAGGTGAAAAAACAAATACTTAAAGCAAACATTCAATAGTGATTATGCAACTATAGATTTTAATTAATCTGCACTGAAAACTAGTATCTGAGAAAATAATTACATGCCATAAAAAAATTTCATAGTTCATCTTCTCCCCTTTCTTCTCCTGGGTCTTAGATTAAATCCTGAGTTTAAAGAATCAAATTTATTTTGCTCTGTTACATAATCAATAGTTTTTAAAAAATGAAAAACAACTTCTTCCATCCTATCTTCTTCGAATGCTATTCTTCCAAAAGGTACCAATTCTATATACTGTTATATATACATATAATTGTATACTCTTTTAAAAAAGATTTGTTTATGCATATAGAACTGGGGTACATGCCGGAGGTACAGGGGAGGTGAGAGCATTCACCAGAGACAACAGCCAGATCAATGAAGTACACAGCTGAGGAGAGCAGCAGGTGAGACAGGAGAGGTCTACTGCACCATGTGGGTCAACCCCCCGACACCGGGAAGCAACAGCTTCTTAGTGCTATACTTTAAGCTGTTGCACCACGAGGGAGGGCCCTGTATGCTCTTTTCAATTATTGTTTAAAATATGAATTGTATCTCCTTATTGCACAGACAGCGCTATGTGAGGAAATGTTTTTTTTTTTTTTTTTTTTTTTACAGATGTTCGAGAAAGAGTTGCTTTATTGGTCATTAACAGAGCAAAGGCCTTTCCAATTAGAAAGGCTATTAATCTATATATTCCATAGTGCAATTTCATATTTCACAGTACTAGGCACACCACAGTAAATGTTTACTGTATAAGTCAGAGAGTGAATAAACAACTTCCAACGTTGCTGGGAAGGCAACACAGTTGTCAACCCAAGTACATGTTCGCTATGTCCAAAGTGTCCTGGAGAGGTGTGTAACAAGCAGGAGCTGCTAGGTTCTTCCTAGCAGTCCCAAAACTGAAGTTATGCCTCTCTCGGGGTTTTGTACAGGAAATAAGAGCTTCCTCTAGTCATTTTTTGGAGAGAATGATGGCAGAATTAGTTTCATTCATATTTAATGGAATTAGAATAGGGTAATTCTTGATATACACACACAAAACAAACACACACATCCTTTAGTAATTATTATGCCCCCAAATTATATTACATTGAAGGGTCTCTTTTTTCTTACACATGCATTGGGATCAGAAGAATGTTATCCCTTTTGACTTTAAATGCCACCAAAAATTCAGGAAAAAGGAAGGAGGAACTAATCATGCAGAACTTCTGTTACTTGTGGTTAATGATAGTAACTAGTGGGGGGAAAAAAACAACCATCTCCGAGACTTTCTGTAGCAACTCACAAAGAGATAAAAGATGAATAGGTTTAAAGAATTTGATTGTGATACTTATGATTAATATCTATTTCTCCACAGGATACACAGTTAAAAAAAATAAAACCACATGTTTCATACTAGGAACTAAGCAAAATCTGACTGATGAGCTTTTATTTTTATCCATAAATATCAGATTTATTTTCTTGATCAATACATATAACATCAATTTCCTTTGTATGAGAAAAAATCCAATGTGGTAACATAGTCCTTTCTGATGTTTATGATGGTAAATGCTGAGGTTGATCATTGTTTTGTCTTATGCATGTCTAAACCCCCAAACTCAGGAAACAGGCAGAAACCTACTTTTCTTATATTATGGCATAGTCTGCATTCAGAACATAAGACATATCTAAAAAGTCCTTACATTTCAGTAGGACATGATAAAGGGAAGAAGATTCAACTGATGAAGGATTACAAAAATGTTTTTTAAAAATCCAGAAAACTGCAAAAAAATAGTGATAACTTTCCTTTAGCTAGTTTACTAAATTAAATTTTATAAAAAGAAATACTCAGACAAATATAATCAGAAATCAGTCTTCCTAATAGATTAAAATATACGATATATTTTCTTTAGAAACAAAAGCAAAAAGAAAAAGCCAAAACGAACCTGTCCTGTGTCACTGGGAAATAAAGGAGATAATTGATTCCATTTACAATTATTCTACCACTCCCATGCTCGTAAACAACTGCTTCTGCTTTTGCACTCTTTCTTTTACCTTTAAAAATAAAAAAATCTATTAGTAAAAAATCTTAAAAGATTTGAGACAGGTGAAACTACATTAAAATCTTTGCCTCCAGCATGATATATATTTAACACTATTTGTTGAAAAGTTCATAAAGATTAAAAGACAAACAAAAATAAAATAGTGATCTATACTATATTGAGGTGAACAAAGCTTATTTGGGGGTAGTTCTTTTTTTTAATTTCATTTCTGGACCACTATGAGATTTTAAATTAGTTTAAACAAGCAACAATCAACTTGTATTTATTTTATTACCTCCTCAAAGTCAAGGAGTCCTACAATCAATAAGAAATAGCTGGTCATAGGACTTTAAAAAAATATATAAGGAGTATAATATGGCAGAAGTGAAAGAAATTCTCAGGAAAGATCACATCTCTTTGAAAATATTAGTTGATAAAAAAAAAGGACAAAGGAGTGATAAATTTTTAAGAGTTGTAGATAAATAACTTAATAGATCAGTTTTTAAAAATTGTAGCACAATGTCTTTGTGTACCTATATAGAAAATGTGAGTTGAGGACCTAAAGTTTCACGTTTCATAGTTTTAGCATGGAGATTCACTGATCATTTTCATTTTATATGAGGAATCTTTATTATAGAAATTTTTGGTTTACACCAGTTGAAATGGGAAATAAAAGAATTTCCTAAACAAATCAAGTGTTATTTAATGATTATATAGGTTTCATAAACAAATCAAATGCTAGTTAATGATTATGTAAGTTTGTATCCACCATTTGTCCTGGGACACTGTAAGATTCAGTTTTTAACTGTTAAGATACAGTTTTTAAAAATTTCAACAGAATATTAAAAATTAGGAAATAGAATAGAGCGGTAGCAAAAAATAAACAATAAGTAAAAAGATGCACGCCAGAGAACAACAGCAAGCAAAAAATAATTGTCGTTCCTCGATCTTCACTAAATTCATTTTCTCTCCACAGAATGTCATTACCTTCACTTCTGCTGAAGGCCATTCCTTGCTCGTCATACTGCACAGGTTCAATCAGCTGTTTTTTTGATTGAATAGTTATACTCCTACGAAACCTCTGAACAAATTCTTCTGCAGCACTACCACACTGCAATGTCAATAACCTTTCTAGCAGCCGAATAAACTGCGTATACTGCAGACAATAAAAATTCATTAGAAGATGCAAGTGTAATTGCATTTGCTAAATTTTTTCTATTTTTATATACTTGATCTTTCCAATGTTGCTTTTCTTGATGAATTTTGACAGGATGACACTTCTGCACCTTCATGCTGCTTTTAAAACAGCATGCAGATGCAGCCCGTTCCCTGTGTATCTTTAGTGTTCTTTTCTTTCAAAAAACAAGAGATTCATCATTCAAAGAAAAATCAATTTCTCTGTATTATGATTACATGAACTGAGATTTAAATTCATTTCAAAAAATATTTAGATGATCTTCAAGTATAATATCTACTCTTAACAGAGATATATCAAGGGGAACATAAATAATTTCCAGTAAGTTATGTACAGCAAAGTAGGAAGAGTTTGATTTTGAGAAAATGTACCTCTTAAATTATATTTCATAATACACTTGGCAAATATATCTTTAGCTGTTCAAGCTGTGTTACTTTAATGTTTATGATTTCCTTTAAAACCGAACAATCAAGCTATTTAAAAATTCAAGAGATACTTGACTTAAAGGGCAACCTCTTGAAATAAATTATCCTTGCCACTCTGTGCATTTTTTTTAATAGTTCTTGAACATGTGATTAGAAAGTAAACAACTTGGTATTAACCCCTTAAAATCAGAAGCCAGAATAATCATTCTAAAGTGTTTATACAGAAGGAAACAACTAATACTTGATATCCTTAGTTATTATGGAGTGTAAAGCACAATTTTTTACTACCTTATTTATGTTAAGCCAACCTACTCCTCGTCACCATTACCTTCATAGTAAAAATCTGCCCTTAATAATTTGCAATATTAAAATCTCACTAGTAAAGTGAAAATGGAACATTGTAGTTACAGCTTCCTGTGATATTGCAATAAAAGGGAAGATAATTTTCTGAGAAAAGGGGAAATCCTTAGCTACTTAAAGTACCTGGCCAGATAAAGTCCCATTCTTCTCCATTTACAGATGTCTATGTCCTTGATCTCTGCTATTCCTGCAAGTCCATCATGCATGCTGGGAACTACAACTGAATTTACCAACAGGTACTTTCAATATGGCACCCCCTTCCTTGAAACAGGTTCGAGGTGTAAGAAATCTCTGACCACCCCTGCCTTTCTCATCTTGATATATACCATTAGTTTCAGAATCTCTTGTACTGCTGTTTAGTCCACCAAAAGTAATGAAGGCAATCATATATGTACATACATTTAAAATAGATGTATATATTTTGTGTTCACAGCTGTATACTTATAAGACGTCCTTCGGATATTTTCAAAATGAAAGACAAAAAAAAGACTATATTATAAAAATCAGAGCAGTCAGAAAACAGAGGAAACAATGAAATGATGAATTTACCGAAGGAGCAAAGAGAGGCTGTTCACTTAGATCCGAGTGCAAGAATACTGACTTGGCTTTGGGATATTAGAAAATAACTTCAGATCTACCACTCACCAAATGCCTGACAACTTGGTTAAGCAAATTGCAACTTTTCCAAATCATTAATTTCTCCAATATGTTAAATGAGAAAAAGAGCAATTTAAATACATGACTTAAAATCTACCTGGTGGCAAGGTACTAACAATGTTAGACAAAATGGAAGGGAAAAAAATCCTTCTTGGAGAAATCTGTGAAATTTATCTCACATCTTCCAGAAATAGCCTCAATTTAGAATATCAAAATATTTTAAACATGACATTTCTTCTGGTAATACTGGCACATACTAGAAATATACAGCAAAATAAGAGTCAAAGACCTAAAACCCAGGGGTCATAAACTTTATAGGGTATAACATTCACTTGGAGGGCTCATTAAAATAGAGTCTTGAATTTTAGGAAACTGCGTTTTGTAACCAGCGTATACCAGAAGATTCTGACACAGGTGGTTTTGAAGATTCCAAGATGAGAAATAGTGGCCTTATAGCTACTGCACATAGGTAAGCCAGGAAGCAGTAAATTGCATGAAATCAACCATGTGCTTCATTCCTTTCTATTAACCTGTAATAGCTCCTTACACTTATCATTAGCTTGTAAAATTAGCTATCTGCTTTAGTGAAGGAGATGAAAAATGACATCTGCTATGCTGCCTTAGAATGACTGGCAGAGGTTACAGGGGCACTTTCATAAGACAGTTTGCAGACCTTTCTATCACTTTCCTGACCACAGTGAAGGCTCTTTCATTGCGAAATCAACTATAAATGTTTTTAAAAAGGGCAAAATGTATTGGGAACACCTGCCTCTGAGGAACATTACTTCTAGGATCCTAAATACAGCAATTGTGCACATTCTTACAGCACAGGTCCCCTTAAATTAAAAAGATTAATTACTCACATCTTGATCTGACAGTTTTTCCACTAACATTTCTTCCAGTTCCTCCTTAATCAGCCATCTGCTGCCAATCAGGTCTCTGTTAAAATATCACATATATTCTCTTTTAAATTAACCATGCAATTAGAATTATATCACAAAAGATCTCACATGTAGTAGCAATTCTTGATTGGGAAGCAAATTTTTGTATTATGTAGCTGTGAAATTTTATACAAGTAAGCTGTTTTTGAGACATATTTCATTTTTTCAATTTACTTTAGAAGACATACTCAGTATAGCAAATGTTTGCCTTGAAGAGTTAAACATTCCATTGTGGAATTCATTTGATATTTAAAAGCCACCAGATTTCTTAAACATTAAAGTGTATTTTTCATAATTTACTTCAAAGGAAAAATTATGGACAAAAATTAACCTGTCAGTGGACTGAAGTAGTGAAAAGGACAAATAAAGGGCCAGGTGTAGTACTTGCAACTTAAACAAGATATGTTCAAGGAAGAACTTGTATTCTTTGAATAAGAAAAGGTAAGTAACCAGGCCAAAATTTAACACTGACTGCTCTGATTTATGACTCCAATCTACCAATTTTTTTTTCCCAAATGGAAGTACAAACCTTGAAATTGCAAAGGAAAACAAAAAAATTAAAGCCTGTGTATTTTAAGTAAACTACAAATGCAACTACATGTGTGAAAATTCTGGTATCATTTAAATTTAGCAATGAAGAACCATTTAATGTGTAAATCTGGTAACAAAGTAACATAAAATAAGCTCAATATGTATTTACTTCCTTCCAAATACGACCTATTATTCTGGTCACTAACTTTTAAGATCAACATAGAAATGTTGAACAATTTTTTTTTTTGTTTGCTGTAAGTAGGCCTAAAACCACCAATGGTAAGTGGCACATTTTTAATTCAATTTTTAAAGCATATTCTAATGCAAGAAAAGGACTTACGTGGTATTAGTTTTTTCTGAAAGTAAACCTTTGGCTTGTAACTGATCTTGTTGTTTTTCTGTATCTAGTAGCTTTCCATATGTTTCCTATGGCAAATAAAATAAAATAAGAGAGCTAGTAGTATATAGTACTTCTACTTCATTTTCCCTTGATCCCTCATTTCAAGAGACTTCTTCAAATAATAAAAATTCACAACAAAGAATAAAGAAAATGTTTCCAAATAATATTTCTCATTAACTAAAGAATGGTAATTTAACTGAATTTTAAGTAACTCTATTAAAAAATCACAACTTCAGTGAGGTTGGTACAAATAAACCTACAAATTGTTTCCCTTAAGAATTTCACAAATTGGACCAAATATTTCCTTAAATACAAACAAACAAAACAAAAACATAGCTGACACAGCAACATATATTTTAAATGACCAGTAAACTTTATAGGAGCTACTAAGCATCTAATATTGAACTAAGCATCTAATATTTAATATTTATATATAATAGTTAAGTCCTATCATATAGCTTATACTTTAAAAAGTTTTCTATTATATTTATTTTTCACATTTGATTTCTGCCTATTCATTTATTTTCTAACAAAGTCTGTCACTTACTTGTAATGCAGGAAGGGGGAAACTTGCCATTTTGTTAGAACTTGTAAAAAGCAATAATCCAGCAGTAAAGGCTATCAGTGAAATATATTTTCCAGGAAATAAAATTACAACAAGCAGAAAGTGCAACTGTATAATTTTTTTGTTTGATTCTGCAAACTTGACTGCTTGAGAATTCACATTCAATATATATATGTCTTCATTTATAATTGACACATA